ATGATATGGGATTTATTTTATAAATGGTTGGAATATAAAGTAAGAAATTAAATGATATTGTTATGATATATAATGTTGAATAGGTTGTAATATGAATGTAAACTTAGTAAGAAATGTATAAAAAATATTAATATGTGCACAAGATATATGTACCCAGTCGACACACTTTATAACTGAAAGATGGATTTGGTTTTTTTAAATAAAAATAAAAAACTTCAATTAAAAAAAAAGAAAAAGAAAATGATAACAAGGTTAGAGAAAAAGATCAATGTTAGAAAGTCCATTGAGTTTCCTTCTGAATTTCTCCGAAAATTTAGGTTATTTGTTTGCATGCCTACTACAGTGGTGTGATATAGACATGATTTCTATATTCATGAGTCATGAAATATGACTCATGAATTGCAAATATCTAGAATACATCTCTTTCTTTACAATTATCTATATATATGCAAATCTCACTCCGAGTCAGTTTTGAGTTAAGGAATAATCAGGGGAAACATCCAAGGAGGAATTAGGAGAAAACTTAAGATTTATTGAGGTGGCTTAATTTCCGCAGAGACCTGTGAGAAATGAAACAATTTTGAAACAAGCTCCTTCTTCCCTGGTGTACCTTGGAGCAGCTGCTCCACGGTGTCTGTCTGGCGGGCGGGACTCCCACTCGGCCTCTTCCTCGATCCCAGCGATGAGATTTTGGAGATAAATCCCTTGCTTAAAGCCTCCCATTGGCTTGTAAACGCTCTTTGCGCTGAGACTGGAGAGGTTGGGATGCCTCAAGAATGGCTATTTCACTGCCCGAAAGTCCCATCGGCTTGCAAGGGATCTTTGTCCGGATATGGTACAGGTGTCGGTTCGCAGAGAACTGAAGCCTAAAGTACTTTATTGCGAGATCACAAGAGACCAGTAGTTCAAGATCTCAGGCTACTAATCGCGTGTGATCTCGCACTGCAGTACTTTAGGCCTGTGTTCTTTTAAGAACTGAGGACTGCATGAGATCCAGGGCAAAAAGTCTTTGAAAATGAAGATGCCTTCCCTCTCTTTGAAAAGCATATGGTCCTGGATCTCGTGCAGGCCTTGGTTAGCAGAGAACAGAGACCTAAAGCAGTGTAGTGTGAGATCAAATGAGATCAATAGTGCTAGATTTCCCACTGCTGATCTCACGTGTCTCACTACTTTAGACCTCTTTTTTCTGCAAATGCACTGAAGCAGGCAAGGGAACCAATGGCTCATCACATAATTGCAATGTACCGTATTTTTCAGACTAGAAGACACACTGGACCATAAGACACACCTAGGTTTAGAGAAGGAACACAAGGAAAAAAAGTTTTGGCCTCCGTGCGTCCCATTTTTACCCTCCTCGGTGTCCAGATGCACTCTGCAGGACAAAAATGGGCTCATTTTTCGCCTCACAAACCCTCTGCACATCCTGTTTTTTCCCTCCCCAGCATCCAGAAGCACTCTGCAGGCCAAATACTCATAATTTTGGGGCTTGGTCTCAAGTACTTGGAGGGCTGGTCGTAACTTGGAATGGTCGCTAAGTGAACTGTTGTAACTCGGAGTTTACCTGTACCCTAGGATGCTCCCTGTACCCTGAGTCACACTGCCTGAGGCCTTTGTTCTTGAATTGGATTGGGAGAGTGATCTTTCACGGACTGAGCATGAAAGTTCTGTTCTCACACAATTTGGAGAGGTTCCAGAGGACAAATGACAAACTCCTCTCACATGACCTCCAGAGGACACATAAAAGCACACCTTAATTCTTTTCAGCCTCCACAGATGTTCAAATAGAAATGGAAAAATACAGAGTAGAAATGGCACAGAAAGCATCTAAGCAAAGAGACGTTGACTCTTTCCTTCCTTGGAGCACGACAAGGCCAGATCCTTTCCTTCTCCCTCCCAGGAGACAATATCTGATTAGTGTTTTTTTAAATAAAAAACTAACTATAATCTCTCTTCTTTATTGGGGACTAGAAAACTCTTACCCAGAGAGACCACGTTCCTATGGTTTTCAAGCATGACTTCCGAATGCAGCGCTTTCTGGTCAGGATCCAGCTGAGACCATTCCTCCTCAGAGAAAGGCACAGCCACCTCCTGGAAGGACACAAGACCCTCCTGAACACAGAAAAAAGAACAGAACAGGAGGATTCGCAAGATCTGTTCATCATCATCATAGATTTAGACAAGAGGATAGAAGGGAACTCATCAAATTTGCAGACAAGACCAAATTAACAGGAATACCAACACTCCAGAAGATAAGCTCGGGGTATAGAAGGATCGACAGATTGGGCCCCATCTAACAAAATAAAATCAACAGTGAGAAATGTAAGGTTCTACATTTAGGAAAGAAAAACCAAATGCACTGGCATAAAATAGGTGATACCTGGCTCAACAGTAGTAAGTGCAACAGGGATATTGGAGTCCTAGTGTACAACCTCTTAAACCTGAGTCAGCGCTATGCTACAGTTGCCCCCCAAAAACCCAAACAGAATCATAGGCTACATTAAGAGGGATAGAATCAAGATGACATGAAGTGTTAGTACCACTTCATAAGGCCTTGGTAAGACTGCACGTGGAAAATTGCATCCAGTTTTGGTTGCCAGATGTAAAAAAGATCTTGAGACTCTAGAAAGAGTGCAGAGAAGAGCAACAAAAATTATTAGTGGACTGGAGGCTAAAACATACAAAGAATGGTGGCTGGAATTGGGTATGTCTAGTTTCATGAAAAGAAGGTTTAGGGCATGGCATGATAGCAGTGTTCCAAGAAGCAATGGATGGAAACTATTCAAGGAGAGAACCAACTGACAAGTAAAGAGAAATTTCCCGACAGAGAACAATTAACCAGGGGAATGACTTCTCTCCAGAAATTGTGGGTGCTCCAACACTGGAGGTGTTTATGAAGAAATTGGACAGCCATTTATCTGAAATGTTATAGGGCTTCCTGTATGAGCAGGGGGTTGGACTAAAGTAATCCCACTTCTGGATCAACCTATCTATCGCTCTGTCTATCATTGATTCCCTGGGAAAGTCATTTCTCAGCCTTGGCAAAGCGGGAATGTTTGATCTCCTAATTCATGCCTAAATCAGAGGATTGGAAATTATTTTGTAGGCCAAAGTACAGTGATTCCATACTCAACACGGCCACTCCCTTTGGATTTTAATAATCTGATTTATTTTTTTAATACAATTTGCTTATTTTTCAACTACAGGTTATAAATGAAGGTTTTTAAAACTGGTAATGTGGCAATTTATTATCCTTCCATAACTCTGAGTCAAAGAATTACCAAAAAAAAGGGTATCTAGCAGTTCCTGCCACTGTGATACCTTTATTCCTCTTTCTTGAAGGACGTTTAAAAAATTGCTTCTTGTAAACTCAAAGTAGGAGGAGAACCTAGCAGAACGAAATAACCAGAGGAAGCTATGCTGGCTGACAGCAACTTGAACCTCCTATTCTGCTCTCCATGTTGTGGAAGAACACAAAAATAATCCAGGCCAAACAAGGGGGGGAAAGAGAAGGAGAGAGCACTCTGCACACCTGCTTCACTTCCTGAAGGGAGAATACAAATCTAATAAACTTTTCCTTTTCTTACTTGATTTGGAGGTTCAGCTGCTGTTTGATCGCCATCATAAAAACCAGAAAGATTCATTCCTTGCTTCTCTGTAAGGAATAAATAATTTCCAAATGCATAATTAACAAAATAGGAGGAGGTATTCCATAGAAGAGAAGAGAGAGCGAAGGGAAGACAGATGGGGAATCGGAGGATCTTCAATTCCCTCCTGAGGTGTCCTGACTTGGGTCTTCCCAAGGGATCCTCCTGAAAAATAGTTCCTGAGGGGGATTTGATGGGTTCTTCTTTCCCTCAGGATCTCTGATCTCCACAGTGCAGCGCTGCCAATAGGAAGGAAGGAAAAAGCAGAATGAATGTACGTCACATGACACAAAGTGGATTCTTATATTCGGAACACAACCTCAAGGCCCCCAATATCCATCCGTGTGGCTGAGTGAGAAAACTATGGAACAATATCCTACCAGAACTGGAGAATTGCCTCATATTGTGAACGTGGGAGAAGTCTGGGAAAGGAGGGGCGAACCATTCAAGCACTCTCTCTATTTATTCCCTTCTGAGCTCCCTAAAGTTCCCCACCTGCCACCGGAGCTGCTCCTTCTGCTCTTCCGCCTGGCTCAGGAGGAAGCCTTCCACCAGGGTCACCGCCTGAGAGCTGCTCTCTGCTCCATACTCCCTCACCCTCCATCTCTGGGGGCAGGAGAGCTAGGAGCTGCTCCAGAACCACCAGGTCCAGCATCTGGGCTTTGCTGTGCTTTCCTGGGCTCAGCCATCCCCTGCACAAGTCATGGAGTCGGCTGCAAAGTCCTTGGGGACCCTCATCCTCCCGGCATCAGATGGAGGTCCAGGGCGGAACTTCTGAAGGGAGGAGGGTTCCCACTGGTCTGGCTTTCTGGCAGGGGTTTTTGAACGGAATTCTGCTGCACGGTGCCCCTCTTTTCCACACTTAAAACAGCCAGATGGTCTTGGAGTCATGGTGGTTTGGGGTTTGAAAAACTCCCACTTTCCCTGGGATGGGGATCCTCTCCAAACTCTGCAGCTGCAGAACTGGTTACAGGCCATGTCTATCTCCGCCTCCTCTGCCATCAGGTACCATTCAAGCAGGAGCTTTGGGGCCCCACGGGCCAGGCAGGCAGTGTACAGTTCATCCGTCGTTGAGTCCATCTCTGAACCAACAGCCTAGGATATCTTCTGGCCAGTCGACTCGGCTAGCCAGGTCACGAAATTCCTCAGTGTACTCGGCTACCGGGTGACAGCCTTGCTTTATGACTCTAATGCGGTCGGTCGTGGGCTTTTCTATCGGCGAGGGGGTCTTTGAAGCGCGTAGGGCTGTCATGAATTGATCGAACTTCCTCAGTTCTAGGGTGTAAACGTTGTGGAGGGTCATCATCCATCTGGCTGCTGCCCCTTCTAGGGCCAGGGTGACAACTCACACTTGGGCCCCCTGGGTCAGGAAATTCTGCCCTTATTCTTGCATGTAGGTGAGGACTTGCGCCAGGAAGAATCCCACTTTCTGGGGGTCCCCATCCAATTTTACCCCCAAGGGCGGGACCTTTCTCTGCAGTTGTATGTCTCTGGGTTGGCCCGGGTTAATCCCCTGCTCTGGAGCAGCAAGGGGCCGGGTACCTGGTATGGCTGCTGATCCTCCGGCTTGTTCCATTGCTCGATCATTCTCAACTGGATCAGGGGTGACGGCTCGGGTTGGTCTCAATTTCTGGTTCACTCGCTCTCCTTCGTTGGTGACCTGGTTCATCCCACACATTGAGGCCCTCCAGGGCTTTCCTCACAAGGCGATTTATGTACCGTTTCAGTCGGTCGTCTGCCAGTGGTTCCTCGACCCATTCTTCCTGATCAGAAAGGGCCTCCAGCTCCATTTTCCACCTGGGTTTACGGTTACCCCAGGTGAGGGTTACTCCCTTGGTTCTTCCATCCCAGCTGTCTCTCTTTCCTATGCCTATAGAACATCGGGGCGCTTCGTGGAATTTTCGCAGGCAGCTTCAATGTCTTTGATGGGGTACACGAAGTCAGTGTCTGGCTGGGTAGTTGTCGAAGTTTCTCCCCAGCATTCAGCTTCCCCTTGCTCCTTGCTATATTCAGACATTTTTTTGCAGGGTCCCCTCAGTAGAGCGAAGTTCTTTCCAAAGAAAAAAAAAATCCTCTCCGGGTTAACATCTATTGCAGAGTCTGCTTTATGTGAGCAACAGGACTTTTCCCCTTCAACCAATTAGAATGAATTTCTGAAAGCTAGGTACTTCAAAAGGAATTCTTTATTGAAAGGAAATGATCCAGATACTAGTCAAAGCAGAGTCTAAGATACCCCCAGGCATACAGGGATAGATAAAGGGAGTTAGAACCCCTCCCCTTATTCTGATGTGGATTTAGTCAAACAAAGACACAACATGTTAATCCCCCCATTTTTTGGCAACGTATCTTAGAAAAGTTTCCCAGGAAGTTTCTTTCAGAGCTGGAATTTTTATGATCCCTTCTCCTCTTGCTATCTCTCCAAGAGGTGACAAGGTTCCAGGCATCTGGCTCCAGTCATATATCATCTGCAAGTTATACAGATTCAATACAAGGTTTAAGATATTCAGGTTACATCAAAAAGGATTACTTGTACCAACTCCCCCCCCCACCTTCTTCTTCCATTGAAGAATGGCAGATACAGGGATCTGACATGCTGAGTCCTTCCCATCTCCTTAGTGTCCTTCAGCTCCATACCACATGCTTCTTCTCAACCTTCCCCTTTGGGGTCAACTTTGTCCCACAGACACTCCTGAAAATCAGTGCTATTTTTGACAGCATTATTGGAACCTGCAAATTTCAGTTGTCTCGGAGAGATGAAATTCAATGTAGAGAAAAGTAAAGTCCTACACTTAGGCAAGAAAAATCAAAAGGACACATGTAGACTGGGTGAAACCAGATTTCTCAATAGCAGGAACTGTGAGAGAACTTGGAGTCTTAGTGGACAACCAGTTAAATAGGAGCCACGGTGTGCAACAGCAGCCAAAAAAGCCAATGTAATCCTATGTTGCAACAACAGAGAGATATAATCGAGATCAAGTGAGATGCTAATGCCACTCTATAAAACCTTAGTAAGACCACACCTAGAGTACTGCATCCAGTTTTGGTCACCACATTATAAAAAAGATGTTGAGGCTCTAGAAAAAGTGCAGAGAAGAGCAACCAGGATGATTAGGGGACTGGAGGATAAAACATAGGAAGAAAGGTTACAGGAACTGGGCCTGGCTAGTCTAGTAAAGAGAAGGATCAGGGGAGACATGATAGCAGTCTTCCAATATTTGAGGGGCTGCCACAGAGAGGAAGGGGTCAAGCTATTTTCTAAAGCACCTGTAGGCCAGACAAGGAATAATGGATGGAAACTGAACAAGGAGAGATTTAATCTGGAAATAAGGAGAAACTTTCTGACAGTGAGAACCATCAACCCATGGAACAGACGTTGCCCTTGGAAGTTATGGGAGTGCCATCACTGGAGACTTTCAAGAAGAGATTGGACTGCCTTTTGTCAGAAATGGTGTAGAGTCTCCCGCTTGTGCGGGGGGTTGGACTAGATGACCTATAAGGTCCCTTCCAACTCTGATTATCTGTTAGCTGACCCTTGAAGTCCAAGGTCCACCTCTGGACCCCTCACCTCAGACCAATTGGGGACCCCAGAGGGATAACCATGGGGTGGAGAGTGGGGAGGGTGTCTGACCTGAAGAAGAGAAGATGGGGGGGCAGTGGTGGGAGGAAGAGCTGCTTCCTTCCAGAAGACCCCAACTCTTCTCCCTCTTGGAAAAGGGGTACAAATTTAAGGAAGGCAGATTCTGGGGGAAGAATCTCTCAAGGAGTAGAAGAAGCTCTACAGAGCAAGGGGGTCTCCAAACTCGGCAACTATAAGACTTGTGGACTTCAACTCCCAGAATTCCTCAAGTAGCATAGCACGCTGTGGACTTCTGAGTTGAAGTCCATAAATCTTAAAGTTTGGGAACATCTGCACAGAGGAGTGAAGGAAAAAGAGGACTATGCTGCCCTCTGCTGGACGGTTGTGGAACTCATTGCTCAAACACATTTCCTGTTTCGTTTCTTGCAAAGTAATCTGACTTCACCATGAATGTGAATAATTAGGAAGTCGGCTTCAAAAGAGGAGGGGAAAGTTGTTTTCTTCTTAGTCCTTCAACTTTCGTTTTCTGAATGCCCTGAAGGCAGAGCAGAAGATGTCTGATCTTCCTTAAAATAGATTCAGCAGGGAAGCAGATCCACCTGCCAGTGGGGATTCCCGATTCCCTCCAACCAGGTGAGTCTCAGGGCAGAAGCACTGAGATACACATCCCCCCAATTGGCATTTCATGGGGCAGCGGAGGGGAGTGGGGCAAGAGCAGGGCTCCTCCTGGGCATTCGGGGATATTTACGTAGTTATTTCCATATTTATACATAAGCATACCTAGTTATGCCTATTCATACTGTTGAAAGGCTGTCAAAATGCCTTTCTTCTGAGGGTTCGATTTTCCCACTGGGAGAGCTCTGGCGCAAGGATACGGACAACAGCTTGAAAGCCGGATCTTTTTATTTTTCAGGAAGGCGAGAGATAGCAAGAAGTCTGCGCTCCTGGGCTAGCTAGCTTCCTATGGTAAGTCCCTGATTTTTATACCCTTTTTCTCCTTTTGTGTGTGAGTGCTTGTGTTTGTATTTCTTAATGTTTTAAATTCTGTCGGGGTTGTCTTGATTTCGGCTGGAGGGTAAACTCCGTGGGGTACGGAAGGCAAACTTTGCGGGGTGGATTGATTGTTTTATCGGTTTCGTCCTAATCTTTTTTAGATTAATGGTTTATTTATTTATTTTTTATTTATTTGATTTGCCAATTGTTTACAAGATAATAAGTATAAGTGTATACATAGTTGTGAATACATGAAATGGGTACATATAAGAAAAATAAAAGAAGAATAAGAGAAACAATAGGACAGGGACGGTAGGCACGTTGGTGCGCTTATGCACGCCCCCTACAGACCTCTTAGGAAAGGGGTGAGGTCAATAGTAGACAGTCTAAGGTTAAAGTTTTTGGGGTTTGGGGAAGAAACTACAGAGTCGGGTAGAGTATTCCAGACATTGACCACTCTATTGCTGAAGTCGTATTTCCTGCAATCAAGTTTGGTGTGGTTAACTTTGAGTTTGTATCTATTGTGTGCTCTTGTGTTGTTATGGTTGAAGCTGAAGCATTCATTGACAGGTAGGACATTGCAATGTATGATTTTATATACCATGCTTAAATCAGACCGAAGACGGCGTAATTCAAGGTTTTCTAGTTCTAGAATTTCAAGTCTGGTGGCATAAGGTATTCTACAACGAGTAGAGGAGTGGAGAACTCTTCTTGTGAAATATTTCTGGACTTTCTCAATTGTGCTAATATCAGATACGTAATGTGGGTTCCAGACTGATGAACTGTATTCGAGTATTGGTCTAGCAAATGTTTTGTATGCTCTGGTTAGTAGTGTGATATTACCAGAGAAAAAGCTACGTAGGATTAGGTTAACAACTCTTAATGCCTTTTTGGCTATGTAGTTGCAGTGGGCTCTAGCACTTAGATCATTAGAGGTGAGTATTCCAAGGTCCTTTACAGAGCTTGGGTCATCAACAAGATCTTGACTATTCAGCTTGTATTTTATTTTCTGATTTTTTTTGCCAATATGTAAGACAGAGCATTTATTTGTTGAGATTTGAAGTTGCCATTTGTTTGACCATTCTGATACATAGTCAAGATCTTTTTGTAGGGTAGCAGTATTGTCTGTGGTATTGAACAGCTTTACATCATCAGCGAAAAGAACGCAATTGCTCTTAATATGATCACAGAGGTCATTTATGTAGAGTATGAAGAGAGTTGGTCCTAGAACACTGCCTTGGGGGACACCACTATTGACAGGTACAGAATTTGATAGGACGCTCCCAATTTTGACCATTTGTTGTCTGTTTGCCAGGAATGCTTCTATCCAGTTATTCAGTTGTCCAGAGATACCATAGGATTTTATTTTTAGGAGTAGTTTGTCGTGTACCACTGAATCAAAGGCTTTACAGAAGTCTATGTAGATTGCGTCTATTGCTTTGCCCTGGTCGAGTTGTGTCGTCCATATGTTTTTGCAGTGTAAGAGTTGCAGATTACAGGATAGTTTTTTTCTGAAACCAAATTGTTTATTGGAGAGTAGGTTGTTTGTCTCTAAGTGGAGGATGATGGATTGGTTAATAATTGATTCCATGACTTTACAGGTGACGCAGCATAAGGAGATTGGTCTGTAATTTTCAACTAGGCTTGGGTCTCCCTTTTTGAAGATGGGGATGACTGTGGCTTGTGACCATAGGTTAGGCAAGGAGCTGGTCCTGAAAGATTTTTCAAAGATTATGCTTAGAGGTTTGGCTATGGCAGTGGATAGCTTTTTTAAGAAGTAGGCACATATTCCATCAGGTCCAATAGATAGAGATGGTTTTAGATTGCGTAGTGTTTTTTCAACATTGTCTTCTGTAAAATCGATATGTATTAGATCATTGTTGTTATCTGTGGTACAGCTAGGAAATACTGGGCATGATCCATTGCTGTTTACAAATACTGAGCTGAATAATGTGTTAAAGATTCTTATATTTGTTTTGTGGCAATCTCCTGTCTGTCTCCTTTTTGATATATTTTGTGTCTTTTGTCTGTTTGTTTTGCTGATTTGGAATGTCTTGTGTTTGCAAGGGTTTTCTTTTCTTGTTTCCCTAGTTTTCTTAATTATTTGG